CCAAAAGTAATGCTACATGTGGAAGTTGATACATGTACTTGGTAATATCACTAATCACTTTCATTCTGGAAACTGACATTAAATTGGCCTATAAAATATTGATTTACAATGTAGCTAAGGAATTGTTACCCTACTAGCAGACCTTTGTAGGTTCCCCTGAAACCAGAAAGCCTTCACTCTGCTGTTCAGAAGAGTGGAGAAGTCAAAGGAGATGGAGACGCCTCACATTATTCCATCTGATCAGTGACACTGGCCACATTTTATTGATTTTATTGTAATTTATTTGCATGATTGGTGTGATTCTCCCAGAAATGTTTAATTTAATTTAATTTAATTTCCAATTTATATACCGCCCTTCTCCCTGAGGACTCAGGGCGGTGTACAGCCAAGATAAAAAAACATAGAATACAAATATTAAAAAACATTTAAAATATATATATAAATTTTGGCCTGAAAGTTAAGAAATCACAGACTGATTAAAAGAATTTAAAAATTTCTTCTTAAGCCAACCCGGCTTGCTGGAAAAGATGGGTTTTAAGGGAACGACGGAAGGCATTGAGATCATGGATTCTCCTTATCTCCGGGGGCAACTGATTCCAGAGGGTGGGAGCCCCCACTGAGAAGGCCCTCCCCCTGGGGGTCACCAGCCTACATTGTTTGGCTGATGGCACCCTGAGGAGGCCCACTCTGTGGGAGCGCACGGGTCGATGGGAGGTCGTCGGTAGCGGCAGGCGGTCTCGCAGATAGCTAGGCCCTATGCCATGGAGCGCTTTAAAGGTGGTAACCAACACCTTGAAGCGCACCCGGAAGACCACCGGGAGCCAGTGCAGCTCGCGCAGGAGCGGTGTTACATGGGAGCGCCATGTTGCTCCCATCACTACCCGTGCTGCTGCATTCTGGACCAGCTGGAGCCTCCGGGTGCTCTTCAAGGGGAGCCCCATGTAGAGAGCATTGCAGTAGTCAAGGAGAGAGGTGACGAGGGCGTGAGTGACTGTGCACAAGGAATCCCGATCAAGAAAGGGCTGCAACTGGCGAATCAGGCGAACCTGACAAAAGGTCCCCCTGGTAATAGCTGTCAGATGTTCCTCCAAAGACAGCTGCCTATCCAGGAGGACTCCCAGATTGTGAGCCCTTTCAGTGGGGGCCAAAGACTCGCCCCCAATAGTCAGTGATGGAGTCAACTGACTATATCGGGATGCCGGGAGCCACAGCCACTCAGTCTTGGAAGGGTTGAGCTTGAGCCTGTTCCTCCCCATCCAGATCCACAAAGCCTCCAGGCACTGGGACATCACTTCAAGGGCATCGTTGGGGTGGCCTGGGGTGGAGATGTACAGCTGGGTGTCATCAGTGTACTGATGGTATCTCACCCCAAAGCCACGGATGATCTCACCCAGCGGCTTCACATAAATGTTGAACAGAAGGGGCGAGAGGACCGATCCCTGCGGCACTCCACAGATGAGAGGCCTTGAGGTCGACCTCTGCCCCCCTGCCAACACAAACTGCGACCAGTCAGAGAGAAAGGAGGAGAACCACTGCAACACAGTGCCTCCCACCCCCAACTCTTCCAGCCGGTGCAGCATGATACCATACCATTGATGGTATCAAAAGCCGCTGAGAGATCTAATAGGACCAGAACAGAGGAACAACCCCTGTCCCGAGCCCTCCAGAGATCATCCACCAATGCGACCAATGCCGTTTCTGTGCTGTGCCCAGACCTGAAACCCGACTGGAATGGATCTATATAGGATGTTTCCTCCAGGAACTGCGGAAACTGTTGTGCGACCACACTCTCAACAACCTTCGCAATGAAGCGAAGGTTGGAGACAGGATGATAGTTAGCCATTATTGCCAGATCCAGGGATGGCTTCTTGAGGAGAGGTCTCACCACCGCCTCTTTCTGGGCAGCGGGGAAGTGACCCTCACTCAATGAAGCATTAATGATGCCCTGGAGCCAGCCTCGTGTAACCTCCCGGGAAGCCAGTACCAACCAGGAGGAACACTGGTCCAGTAAACATGTGGCCGCACTAAGTCTCCCCAAAATCCTGTCCCCATCTTCAGGAGTCACAGCATCAAACTCCTCCCAGATAACATTCTCAAGACTGTTCCTTGTCACCCTGCCCTGATCTACCCAGTCAGAGTCCAAATCCCCCCGGATCTGAGCGATTTTGTCATACAGGTATTGTCCGAAATCCTCCGCCCTGCCTTCTAAGGGATCCTCCCGCACTCCCGAATGGAGCAGGGAGTGGGTCACCCTAAACAGGGTGGCCGGACGATTCCCTGATGATGCAATAGAGGCAGAAAAGTAGTTAGACTTTGCCGTCTTTATTGCCACTAGGTAGGCCTTACCAGTGTTCGATCAAATTCAGCGAGACTGGCCCTCCAACCGCTCTCCAGGCGTCTTTTCCGGCACTTCATTTCCCTCAGCTCCTCAGTAAACCAAGGAGCTGCACAGGATCGGCATCGGGTCAGAGGCTGCAAAGGCACGACTTGGTCCAAGGCCCCACCAGCCGCCCGATCCCAGGCGGCTACCAGGTCCTCGGCCGAGTCATGTGCTAGATCCTCAGGAATTGGCCCAAGCTCCATCTGGAACCTATCAGGATCCATCAGGCGCCTGGGGCGGATCCATCTAATTGGGTCTGCCTCCCTGTGGTGAGGGTTCATGGTTCGAAGATCTAGTCGAAGGAGTGAGTGGCCAGTCCATGACAAGGGTTCCATGTCTATATCCCCTATAACAAGACCACTCAACCACTGGCCAGAGACAAAAATCAAGTCCAGAGTGTGACCTCCCCTGTGAGTAGGGCCATGAACTAACTGGTCAGGTCCATGGCCGTCATGGAAGCCATGAACTCCCGAGCCACCTCAGACGTTTCACCAACGGATGGCAAGTTGAAATCACCCATGACTAAAAGCCTGGGTGTATTTACTGCCACCGTGGCTATCACATCGAGTAGCTCAGGTAGGGCTGTTGCCACGCGGCAGGGAGCCAGGTACGTAAGCAACAAGCCCATCTGGACCCCACGGCCCCACCTGACAAGGAGGGACTCACATCCGGCTATCTGAGGCACAGTGGTCTCCCTCGGACCCAGATCCTCGTTAATAATAACCGCCACCCCCACCCCTCCCCTGGGCCCTCGGCTGATGGAATGCTCTGAAGCCTGGTGGGCACATTTCAACCAGAGGGACGCCACCCTCCGGGCCCAACCAGGTCTCCGTAATACCCGCCAGGTCCGGAGAGTTGGATAGCTTAGAAGTTTAATAAATCATCATCATTTTAATCATAGTCATCACAATCTGCTTTAAGTGTTGGGGTTAAAGAATTATTTTTCTGGATTTAAGGAGTTACAGAATAAAGATATGTGCTCAAGGGTCTGGAAAACATTCCATGACATTCTCACATAAAAAAGGAAATGCTAAAGAATACTCAAACAACTAGTCAATTGTCTTTCATTGACAACCTCCCTGGAACTTTTCCACAGGTTTCTCATTATTTATTACAGAATCCAACAATACCTGATAGATCAATCAGAATAGAGCTGGAAGGGACCTTAGAGGTCTTCTAGCCCAACCCCGTGCTCAAGCAGGAGACCCTATAATGTTTCAAACAGGTAATTGTCCAGTCCTCCAGTAACGAAACCTCCAGTGACGAAGCACCTATAATTTTTGAAGGCAAGCTGTTCCACTGGTTAATTGTTCTTACTGTTAGGAAGTTTCTCCTTAATTCCAGGTTGTGTCTCTCCCTGATTAGTTTCCATTCATTGTTTTTTGTCTTGCCTTCTGGTGCTTTGGAAAAGAAGTTGACACCCCCCATCACCACCCCATTCCTTGTGGCAGCTCCTCAAATACTGGAATACTGCCATGTCACTCTTAGTCCTTCTTTTCTCTAGATTAGAGAAAAGATCTCTAGAGTCTTCATATGTATTTGTCTCCAGGCCTTTAATCATCTTAGTTGGTCTTCTTTGTAGTTTTTCCAAAGTCTTACAAAACATTTTTTTGTAATGTGGTGACCAAAACTGGATGCAGTATTCCAGGCGTAGTCTTACTAAGGATTTATAAAGCTGTACTAATACTCCATGTGATTTTGACTCTATGCTTCTGTTTATAAAATTAAACATTGTATTCACTTGTTTGGCTGCTGCTGCATATTGGTGGCTCATGTTTAACTGATCGTCCAATAGGACTGCAAGGTCCCTCTCACAGTTACTGTTTTTGAGCATGGTTTTACGTAATCTGTACTTGTACCTTTGGTTTTTCCTGCTTAGGTATAAAACCTTGTACCCAGGCAGTAAAAACTAAAGGTACAAGTACAGAACACATGCTCTTTAAATTTTCAATCTTTAATTTTTTTTTCATGATAGATGGACAATAAATTGTATACTCAAGGAATTGAGGTATTTGTAATGCATAATGGCATAGCCAAATACTATTTTGCCGCAGCCCTTGTATTTGAAATGAGAGTGTCAATGATAATTTATTTTTGAATAATCTTCAACTCAGTCCTCCTAATGGGTGAAATGATAATTTTGAATCTCTAGTGAGAAAAAGAGGTACAGTAGCATAAAAAAATCAAATGTTTTGTCATCTGTCAGGAAACAAGCTTGGGACCTATGGAGCTACCAAACTAAATTTTCATACTTTCAAATGATATGGATTTTAGCTTTTGTATCATCCTGAATTTTTTATTCTTAAAATAGGGTGTGGTCTATTATTACAATGAAAATAACTTGTTTGCTTTAGAGTTATGCTAAATACTCTTAGTTCTGAATACTCTTAGTTATTGGAGTATTTACATAAAATGTAAATATTCCAATAAAATAAATAAATACCATATAAATTCATGTATGTGATTTAAGTATTTTTCTTGGTGGATGAATTGTGGAGAATCCCACTCAAACATAAGCAGATAGATATATATATATATAAACTATAACTTTACACACGTGAGGCAGGCAAATATCTTGTTGGGAGGTTCCAAAAAATAAATTGCATGAAAATTTCAATGCATCTTTAACTTTATTAAAAGCAGCAAAGGGAAAAGCTTCTTTTCTAAGCAAATCTTGCAAATTTTACTTCTGAGGAAAAATGCTTTGGAATCTAATGAATGATTTGGATTTGCATAAAGGAAGATAAAGCAGTTGCAGGCAGTAACATCACATCATGGCTGGATCCTGAACGTCTTCATGAGGGCAGCAGTAAGCCATTATTTTCCAAATGCTGTATAAATACAATAAAATAATAATTTGATGTACTTGATAGATCCTGCTCAATGAACATCAGTCTCTCTTAAATCTCTCTCACCCTCCCCTTTTTAAAAAAAAATTGATTTATATGCAGCCCTTCTCCGGAGACTCAGGGCAGCTTACAATGCATTAAGCAATAGCCTTCATACTTTTGTATATTTTACAAAGTCATCTTATTGCCCCCACAAACTGGGTCCTCATTTTACCTACCTTAGAAAGGATGGAAGGCTGAGTCAACCTTGAGTCTGGTGAGATTCGAACTTACTAATTGCAGACAGCTGGAGTTAAATTACAATGCATTAGTCTGCTGAGCTATCCAGGCTCCTTAGTCTGCTGAGCTATCCAGGCCCTTGATCCCAATGTTTTCACTGAAAACATTAGTTGTTCTTCATGAAAATGCCTTGCAGTCCTTTGACAATACAAATAGCAGATAGGCAAAGTGCCCAAAGCTCCTACTGCAATATTTCTAATGGAGGAGATATTTCTTACTTCGTACACAGCACTGCTGAAAAAAATAACAATTTTGTTTCCCATAGCTTCTAGTGCCTTCAGGACAACGTATTTTGCAGGTTCCAAGTCCTTGAAAACAGTTCTTCTTCTTCCCTATGGAAAGAAAAAAACAGGCCAGTTGTAGGTTGAGTAAACACACACACACACACACACACACACCCCAATATATATGTGTCTGTGCGTTCATATATGTCTATAGGTATGTGGGTATGTATGTATGTATCAGGGGTGGGTTCTACTTACCTTTACTACCGATTCACAATGGGCCGCATGCGCAGAAGTGTTTTCATGACATCAGGGTCAGTGGGCGGAGTCTCCCACCGGTTTTACTACCGGTTCTATAGAACCAGTGCAAACCGGGGGCAACCCACCACTGGTATGTATCTATTGGGACATATCCCCTTTAGGGCTTCAGCTGCTTTGTAGATTTACTGAAAATAATTAGACTTCATATAACTTCATTTTAAGGCAAGGCTGAAGCCTGCCCTGATCTGAATTTCTTGGCTGGCATATATCTGTTTCTAAGGAAATTAGAAAAAGAAAATCACCTAACTTCTGCAATATATTTTAACCTATTACCATGAGAAGTTGCTTATCTAAAGGAAAAGAATCTTGGCTTAGAATGCCTCATTATAGTGTGAGGTTAGAGTAGAAAATCCTTGGGCAAAAAATAATTAGCTTCTTCCTCCTCCTTTGCTACCAACATACCAACTTGCCTCTGGATGTTTCCCCCATTAGTTCCTTTAGAAACATTTTCAATCTCTTCTCTTTCTCTGATCTTCTGGTTAACTCTCTCATGAAACATCACCAGGAAACTCAGGCCTGTAGGCTTGACTGTGAGCTTGGAAAGAAAAACCTCAGAAGAGAGCATTGATAATTTATTCCAGTATTGCTTTCAAAAAAATTAATAACCTTCTTGATATAATCATCAAGACTGGAGGGAGTATTTAAGAGTCCTGTGTTCTGTATTAGTATTATGTAGAAAAAGACTTACTTCTGTTTCTAGATGTCTCATTGCAAGACTAGAAAATTCATTGTTTCATTTATTTTTTTCAGGCTAATTACATATAGATTCCTTGAATAGTTGTTAATTTGTGCCTGAAAATGCTTAATCCAGTCTAAACATCTGGCTGACTATGCAATGAACCATAAATAAAAATTAAAAAAGTAAGATATGTTTTGAATGAAAGAACAAAGCCAATGAATTGGCTTTCCAATCCCACCTTGCCATTCTATATTTCCCTAGATGTTCAGTTTTCATACCGGGGAGAAAAAAAGTCAGTGGTGCATTTTTCAGATGTTCTGAAATTAAAAAATCTTAATAGCTGAAAGAAGTTTAGATAAGAACATAATATCAAAATGCAATAGTTCATTATTTATGCATTTCTGGTGCTGAAATGAAGAAAGGACTTGATTACGAGACAGATCCTTCTATCCTTCTGGCAGAGGCAGTCCTACTTTATTAGAAAAAACAGGATTTTCCTTCTTGTTATCAGTGTCTTACCTGATCCAGGCAGGACTACAAAGACAAGGACAGCAAAAAGCAGGAAAAGGATTTTCATGTTTAGACTGGTTCTGAATTAAATCTTACTTCTGGGATGAGGCACATCCTTGTATTTATAGATATATAACGATTGCATCATACGTAGTAAATGAAATATTGCAACAGTTGTTATTTTTTATACTTACAAGTCTTAAGCAACAAACGGTTCCATGCTATTTCTTTAAAAACAGAATGTCAACTTGCAAAACTTTCAAGTTGCCATGAGCAGGAGGGAGGGAGAACTGATGGAGCTGATTGATTTCCCTAACTGACATTACATTCCACAGATGTTTTGGTTACTGCAATCAGTAGAAGAGTTTTAGGTTTCACAGCCAGCCAGAGTGGTTAATTGGAGAATGTGATTACATGGCCAGGGAGGAGGGGAAAGACAGGGTCATAGGGGAATTTTCTAACATTCTAACTGCATCCGAACTAATGGGATTAGTTCTTTTTTATATATATATAATTTTTATTTATGTTATATATAATAAAATTAACATACATAAATCATAATATATAATATATAACAATATACACAATACAAACAATCAACAAGTGCTCCCCCACCCCTCGGGATCATTCCTGCTTCCAAAATCTTAAAGCTTCTTCTGGTGATGGTATCCCCCTTCCTGCAGAAAACACATATGTTAGGAACTGTTTCCAGATTCCATTGAATTCATTCACTTTCATTGTGCCCCTCCTTACTTTAATATTACATGTCAATTTATCGTTTATGGCAATATCCCATACTTCCTTATACCATTCTTCCAAACAATAATCACCTCTTATCTTCCAGTTCCTAGAAATCATTAACCTTGATGCGGTCAACAAATTTGTTATCAACTCTTTAGTTTCTTTTTTACACTTTATATCTTCCAATAGTGAGAGTAATGCTACCTTTGGTGCCTCTTCTACCTTTATTCCTACAATTTCTTTAATCTCCTTATATACAATCTTCCACAATTTTTGCACAAATTTACAATCCCACCACATATGTAAATACGTTCCTTTTTCCCCACAACCTCTCCAACAGTTATCTGAGTAGTGCTGATTCATATTGTTTAATCTAACTGGAATTAAATACCACCTCCATACCATTTTATAATAATTCTCTTTTATTCTTACTGACATATTTCTCAACACTCTTTGTTGCCAAATTCCTTCCCAACTCTGTTGCCCTATTTGTATCTTCAAATCAGTTTCCCATACCATCTTTTCTCAATTTTTCCTCTCCTCTTCCTCTAACAATATTTTATAAATTCCACTCATTAAGCCTTTTATCCCTCTATTTTCTTCCTTTACATTTTCGTTTTTTTCAATTAATTCCTCAAACCTCATTAACTCTCTACACTCTCCATTTTCTCTTATCCAGTTTTTAGTCCATTGTTCCACTTGGCTGTAATTTAACCAAGACAACCGTTTTCCTCCTAGAACCTCTTCCAATTCCCCACGTGTCCTCATTCCTCCTAACCATTCCCTTAGTTTCATTTTATTTTTCTCTTTTAAAATTTTATTCACATTATTCTTCAAATTCCCTGGGAAATTTTCCAAGATTACTACTGGTAATAATGGAGAGTTCTTCAGAAGCAGCCTCCCTTTATATTTACTCCAAATTTCCCAATGAAGCTTCAGGAGAGGATTGCTTATACTTTCAACCCATTTCTTTCCACCTTCCGTAAAAAATATCTTTTCCAGCTTCCATTCTAATTTGGTTTTAATTTTAGATCTATCTTCCAACCATTCCAATTCTTCTACTCCTAAAATTGCCTCTATAACACGTCTAAGCCTATTAGCAACATAATATAATTTAATATTTGGGAGTCCTAAATCCCCCTTTTTTTGGCTTAGATACCACCTATTTTTATTTATCCTCGCTTTCTTATTCCCATTACAATAGTTATTCAGTATATTCTGCCAACTCTTTAACTCTAATTCTGATATTCTTATTGGTAGCATCCTAAAAACAAAATTAATCTTTGCTAAAATCTTCATTTTTACTAAAGCAATTATTCCAAACCATGATAAATTCAACCTTTTATATTTATTCAAACTTTCCAAAATCTCCTTCTTTAAGCTGCCTAAATTTTCCTTTTCTAACTCCTCCAGATTTTTTGTAATTCTAACTCCCAGGTATTTAATGTATTCTTTAATTCTCATTTCGCTTCGCTTCCCTTCCCAATCCTTCTCTTCCCTTTTAGTATAATTAAACAGCATCAACTCAGATTTTGACCAATTTATTCTTAATCCAGTTATTTCTTCAAAATCTTTTAGATGCCATCCAATTCTTTCCATCTTATCTACTATGTTCTTAACTGTTAACAGTGTATCATCAGCAAACATATTTAGTTTTATTTTACCTATCCCTTCTATCTCCCCGTCATCTCTTAATGCATTGGCCAATAGTTCCATAACCAATACAAATAGGACAGGCAAGAGTGGGCATCCTTGCCTTGTTCCTCTGGCTAGTTGTATTTTGTCTGTAACACCATCATTCACTACCACTAAGGCAGAATTCCGAGAATATAATTGATCTATTACAACTTTAAATTTGTTTCCAAACCCCATTCTATCTATTACCATCTTTAATGCTTGCCAGCTCACACAATCGAAGGCCTTAAAAATATCTAAGGCTAATATCCCCGTTTTAAGCTTTGAATTTTTAATCTCCTGAATTACATTTATCACTCTACCAACCAAATTATGCATTTGTCCGCCCTTTACAAATCCACATTGATCTTCCCTTATATAATTACTTATAAAATTATTCATTCTTCTTGCTAAAATAGTTGAAAAAATTTTTGCATCTTGATTTATTAATGATATAGGTCTGTACGAGTCAGGGAGCGTCAGATCCTTATCTGGTTTTGATATTAATATTATTAACGACTGCTCCCTGGGATTAGTTCTAACTGCATCCGAATATTGCCAAAATGGTGCTCCTAATAAATGACTGTATTTCTTTTGAAGTTTGGCTCGTGGCTCATGAATTAATTAGGGCATCTTTCGGAAATTTCATACAGGTTTTATATTGAAATATGAGCAAGTATCTCAGTTTAGCAGATAAGGACAATTTGTTCATAAGCAATATCCAAACATTTTGTTGGGTCACCAATGATACAACAATATCTTGTTGTTTTCACGAGGGATAGACAAAGCTCCTATTTCAGTTAATGCTGAAACTCTGCTTGTAGAGATAGAAAACCCTGAATAAAATATACCACTGGTTGGACTTAAGTGGCTCATCTTCACCTCCTGCTTGATTCAGTACAAAGAAGGCCTATTAGCTATTAACCCACAATTTCCCTCTGTTTTCTTATTCTGCATCAAGAGTTGTCTTTTCTGGGTTTGGCTGGCATAAATGTTACTGTACTATCAATATATTCTCCTTCTTCTCCTTCTCAGGGTTAGAGAATAACAGAATAGCAACAGAGTAACAGAGTAACATAGTTGGAAAGGACCTTGGAGATTGTCTAGTCCAACCCCCTGATCAAACAGGAAACCATATATCATTTCAGACAAATGGTTATCCAATCTCTTCTTTAAAACCTTCAGTTTTGGAGCACCCACAACTTCTGGAGGCAAGTCGTTCCACTGATTCATTGTCTGCAAACATCTGCAAGTACCAAGAAAGTACCAAGAACCCTACAAAACAAGCTGAAAGAGCATCAAAGACCAACAGTTCATCCCTGATCTACACATATTCCCTTCTATTGTTAAAATCAAGTGAACCTGGGGACCACTGGATGTGGCATTATAGGGAAATTCAAACAAATATAAGGTTATCAACAGAAATGTGGGGCAATCCTACAAAAAGTCGCAAATGGAGACTATATGTGTGCAAAGACCAACCCACAGGAAAGAAATTAATGGTTGGCAATTACCCGTATAACTATTAAAGGAAAACAAGCATCAAATGGTCAAGAGCTATGGTAATCACAGTCCACAAAGATCCCATGGATAGCCCCACTTCCAAAAATGAAGAATGGATGTGGTTTGAAGTTTCTTTTGTTGATTTCATTTCCAGCCATTTTCTGCAGGGGAGACAAACAGCTGAAGTCTTTTGTGTGGAAGAGCCATGCAAAGCAACATGATTAAAACTCTGGATCAGCCCAGATGCCCATCAATTTCCTTTTTTTTTTTTTTTACACACACACTTTTTTTTTTCTGTTACCCACTTTGGGTACAGAAGGTTTTAAACCAACAACTTGGTGATCCAATGAAATGCATTCATGTTTTAGATTGGACTATATAAGAACATGGGGATCTCACCAGACTCTAACTTCTAGAATAGGTTCCAACATGAAAACCTAAATATTGGAAGAGCAGCAGCAGCTGCTTACTGGTTTTTCTTAAATCTTATTAGTTACTAAGGCATGGTTTTATTTTCAGACATTGTTTGGGGCATAGGCTTGGTTTACTGTGAGGTTGGATACTTTGCCTTGGATTCGAAGGAAGATCATTCTGTCATTTTGAGATTGTAGCCCAATACTGCTTTTTCCACTCTATTGACTATCCATTTTTTTTCTAGAGAATTCTTGCCCACAGTAATAGGTATAATGGTTATCTGAATTGAATTTGTTCATCCCTGCCCACTTTAGTTCACTGATTTCCAAGATGTTAGTGTTTAGTCTTGTCATCTCATGTTTGACCATATTCATCTTACCTTGATTTATAGGTCTTATATTCCATGTTCCTATGAAATATTGTTCTTTACAGCATTGGACTTTCCTTTCACCATCAGACACATCCACAGCTGAGCATCCTTTCAGCTTTGGCCCAGTTGCTTCAGTCTTTCTGGATCTACTTATAATTGCCCTCTACTCTTCCCCAGTTGCATATTGGACAGCATGTGACCTGGCGGGCTGATCTTCCAGCCTCATATCTTTTAGCTTTTTGATGCTGTCCATGGGGTTTTCTTGGAAAGGATATTAGAGTGGGTTGCCATTTTCTTCTCCAGTGGATCACGTTTTGTCAGAGCTCTTCACTATGACCTTTCATAACTTTATTGAGCTGCACAAGGCCTTTTGCCATGACA